GGCAACCCAATGCCGGTCATTTAGAAGGCACGAAATAAATGCTTGCTGAATTGAATTGTTTCCCCTTTCCAGAGGTGAAAATGTACATCTGCCAGTCAACTGGTAACTTCTATGAATTTATTGATCTGCTTAGGTCAGAGTATGATGAATCAGTGCTAAATGCCATGGTGTGCTGAGACTGATTCCTACTGGTCCACAAGATCTAATTCCTATGTTGTTAAGAATCTTGTGAGCTGACTGATGTCACGTTGGTACCTTGAAAACAGCCATGGTGGGAATATTAATAAATGCAAATTTTATTTATTAGAAATCAGCAAATGTCGGGAGGCTGAGGTGGGAGGATCACTTGAGCCCAGGAGTTCAAGGAGGCAGTGATCTGAGGTCACACCACTGCACTCTGACCTGGGGCACAGAGTGAGACACTGTCTCATATAAAAGGAAAAAAGGAAAAAATAAAGAGAAAGCAATCAGCAAATGCAACAAACCAGATATTTTATTTCTTTGGTTTATTCGTTTTATAGCCAATTGTTCCATTGCTGTCTGAGCATAAGAATAGTAAACAAGTATTGATTTCTTTTCTGCCTAGTTTCCATCTCTCAATTTTCTGATACCAGACCCTGGCTGAAATGACTGGTCTAAGACTTTAAGAAATAACTGAAGCTTTGTACCCTTTCACCATCACCTGCCTGTTGGCAAGATAAATAAGTTCTAGAAGTCTCTTACATAGCATAATGCCTATAGCTAATAATACTGTATTGTAGACTTAAAAATTGCTAAGAAGGTAGAGCTTATGTAAGTGTTTTTACCAGATGCACACACACACATAAAATAATAATAAAGGAAATGGCAGGAAACTTTGGGAAGTGATGGATGTTTATGGCCTTGGTGGTGATGATTTCATAGTTTATACTCATCCCCAAATTCGTTGAGTTGTATACATTAAATATATACAGCTTTTTAATCTGTCAATCATACATCCATAAAGTGGTTTAAAAAAGGTAAACATAGGATACAAGTTGATCCCTGATCTCTGTTATAATTGTTCCTTATGGTTTCCGAACAGGACTGGGAAGGAAAAGTCCCCTTTGTCCTGGTGATAAAGCTGTGAAGATTAGAATTAGGACTGTTCTTCAGGCTGCTGCATCGTTGCCTTCCCTATGGTTTAGTGATCGTAAGCCAGTGAGTTCTGCATTCTGCCAATCCTCCCTGGCCCTTGCCTTTTTTTTTGTTTTTAAACTTGTTTTAATTGGGTTTTAGTCATTTATACACTAAAGAATCTGCCGAATACAATACAGATAATCAAAGGTAATAGTTTATTAAAAGTGTACCTGTAAATGGGATGCAGCATAGAACAGTGGAGTTATTAAACCAGAAAACCTGAGTTAGTTGGCATGCCAGTTCCATCAATTAGTAGCTGTGAAAATTATTTAGCCTCCGTGGACTTTCATTTCTTTAAATGTAAAATGAGAATAAGACGCCTACTCTGATTTTTCCCCAAGGTTTCTAAACTGATCAAACATGACAATAGATGTGAAAGTGTTTTATAAAACATTACGATACCTGTATCTGTGATAGTATTATTAACCTCATTTTATAAAGCATAATGATACCTGTATCTGTGATAGTATTATTAACCTCATGAAGAAAGAATGTGATTTATCGAACAAATTGAGCATTAGAAAGTATTTCTGGTATTACTGAATAGAATAATTTATAAATGTTGAAAATTTTTAATGTCTTTGGTTATTAGGTTGTACAAAAGTGTGCCAAACACTAGGAATAAGCAACAATAGCAGCCAAACTTGTTATTGTCCTCAAATGCTTATTTTTAGAATAGTTTGGAGTGATAATATGGGAGAAGAAAACATGGACTAGGAAGCCAAGAAAACTGGATCATGATACTGACTCAGTCACTAATCAACACATGACTTGAGACATGTCATTGCACTTCCCTGGACCTCAGTATTCCCACTTGAACAATGAAGCATTTGGCCTAGTTCTCTAAAATGCCTTCTGGCTCAGTAAGTCAATAATCCTAATTGAGTAGACAGGGCATGCACACATGAACAGGTATAAGAATGCTTACAAAGTAATTTACCAGTAAGTACATGTAAGCAAAGGGAGTGTGTATTAAGAATTTAAGTGGGTCAACTGAAAGAATGACCCTGCCTGAGTGGTCCTACTCAGGAAAAGTATTGACCTCTTGACTGATGAGTGCTATCTCATTGAACTGCTTATGATAGTAAATGAAAAAATAAATGTTCATCACATGAAACTGAACTGCATGCATTGACGTCTCCACAATAGATGCACAAATCAAGTGAAGTTCTACTTGGTGTTGCTAGTGCCAGACACTCATATTCATTGTTTCCCTTCATTCCAGAGAAGTTTAGTAACTTGCCAAAGGTCACTCAGGTAGCAAGTGATATAATAAAAATCAAATGTAATTGTTTTGATGCTAAGTTCAATGTTCCCACTGCAGTACCATTACTGACTACCATCCACTTGACTCTACCCCATTGCTTGTAAACAGATTTGACTCTAGACCTCAAAAAACCTGGTCAACCATCTCTATTTGTCCCCTCCACAACTTTTGACTTACATAATGCTTTTCTGTTTTACAAAATTAAGTTTTTTTTTTTTTTTTTTTTTTTTTTGCATCTCCATTATTTTTTCTGTTACTGAAATTCCAGGAGCTGGCAGTTGCAGTTCCTACTGATTTCCCGTATACCAGTAGGGACGAGTAACCTCAATACATATGTCACTTGCTTGGGCAGCTTCCTGTCCTTCAATTCCCTACACCCAGATGACTCTTCCAACAATAATTCCTTTATAGTAAAGCATTCTTCTCAATTTTGAAGATGGAGAATTCTTTGTAAGAGAGAAAACATTATTACTAAGTTTCTTTGTAATACTTCTTGCTCTTTCATCTTGTTAGTCTTTACCACAGCCTCACTCTGTTTTGGCCACTGGAGTATTTCCTTGAGTTCCTACTAATAGATTAATGCATGGTGCTTTATTAAGATGTATGGATGTGTCACTCTAGTGCCATGCTGAGTATCAGCTGCTCTAGGGGCAGCTGCTGTTCTTCCCTTGACGTGAATCCTTCCATAAGCTCTGCAAAAAATTAAATGATTAGGCCATTCTGCTAGTGCCTAAGGCAACTTCCTGCATTCCCCCTTGTGAGTCCTCTATGGGAAATATTCCATACAATGAGATGAAAATAAACAGAGGGAAGTAAGTATATCTATCATGTGCCAGGCCAGATACTCTGTTTCAGAAAGCTCAGAAACAATAATGAGAAGTTATATTCTTTCTCAGTCAGAGCCAATTGCTTAGTTTTCAGATTGCACACAGTGAGCTGGAATCAACTAGGGAATGTCAGTCTTCATGAGTGTGCATTTGCTGCAGTTATTCAGTAGGTTCGCCCTTGAAAGCATGACTCTTCTTTCAGCTCTGCTCATTAGAGTGTTCTGTAGACAGACCAGAGGTAACATGTCATGCATGCAGGTTAAAATAATCCTTAAAATTAGAATTATATAAAGGGTGCTCCCACTAATTGCCATATTTTGTTCACTCTGAGAAGGCATGAATGTAACTGGTGGAATCCACTTGGTTCAGATTGCTATGTTTTACAATTCCTAAGAGAGGTATTTAACTTGGGGCTTTCTGAAGGTGACAAAAGATTAGCTGAGAATGATCAACTCCAAGGTGTATAATGGAAAAACCTCTGTTTAGCTTAGTATGCATTCTTTTACAGGGGAGGAATTTTTGAGATTTAGCATCTCATCATTAATTATTTTTAAAAACATAAAACCATTTACTCATAAGTTGAGGAAACAATTTTGTTTTTGCTATTGACTAAATGATAATATTTGGTTTACTACATATGGCAGTCCTATTTGGAATCCAGGTTATACAAAATACTTTTCTGTTATTAAACTTTAAACGTAAGTCAAATAAATATAACATGTATTTTATTTTATTAAAGTCAAGCTGATTGATGTTTAATATGTATTCAGTAAGAGGCTGGGTGTGGTGGCATATGCCTGTAATCCCAGGACTTTGGGAGAAGATCAAGGAGGGCGTATCACCTGAGGTCATGAGCTATAGACCAGCCTGGCCATCATGGTGAAACCCCATCTCTGCTAAATAAAAAAAAAAGAAAAAAAATACAAAAATTAGCATGATGGTGCATGCCTGTAGTCCCAGCTACTCTGGAGGCTGAAGCGTGAAAATCGCTTGAACCCAGAGGCAGAAGTTACAGTGAGCCAAGACCGTGCCCCAGCACTCCAGCCTGGGTGACAGAGTGAGACTCCGCTCCCCTCCAAAAAAGAAATAATAATAATAATTTGTATACTGTAAGATTCATCCTTTTTGATAAAGTTTTATGAATTTTGACAAAAATATACAGTTGTATAACTGCATCCACAATCACAATGTACATCAAAATGTTCCATCACTCACATTTCCTTCATGTCCCTTTGTAGTTAATCTCCACCTCCCCCAACTCTTAAGCCTTTGACAACTATTTGTGCATTTCTTTAACTGTAGTTTTGTCTTTTCTAAAATGTCACATAAACGATATGTATAGTATGTTCTTTTTAAATCTGGCATCTTTCACTTAGCATACAGCTTTTGAGCTTCATCCTTGGTGCATGCATCAATAATTTGTTCCTTTTTGCTTTTAAGTAAGATTCTATTGTATAGACATGCCACACTTTATTCACTTATAAGTTAATAAGCATTTTCCTGCCAGTGTTGGCTAATACCAATAAAGTGACTATGAACATTCATGAAGTTTTTGTGTACACATATGCTTTCATTTCCCTTAGGTAACTACCTAGAAGTGGAATAGTTGGGTCATGTACTGAGTGTATATTTAACTTTTTAAGAAGTTGCCAACTGTCTTCCAAAGTGTTGCATGATTTTACATTTCTTTTTTTAGTTTTAAATGATTTTTAAAAAATTTATGTGAAATAAAGACAACCCATATCGTTGACTTAAAAGTATTCTATTTCACATTATATTCAAGACTAAACATCTTCCAAACCATATTCATGAAGCTGATATGTGCTTTGCCAGTTTTCAAGAAATATCAGTTAAACAGTGATTAAATTTCAAGGTATCAGCTAAACGTCCACTGAACATCTCCACTTGCAGTTAGCATTAGACTAAGTGCTTAAGGACAAGTAGTTTGATGCATTAAGTTAAGAAATACATATTTAAGACTTATAATATTATTTGCAGAATTCTTGGCATAATTATTTAAGTTCCTTCTGGTGAGAAACTTGAGTTTTGTGTTTTCTTTCTTTCAGTTCCAAAAGCTCCGTTTTGAGCTCTCCAGGCTTTGGTGAAATTTCAGGTATGGGCAGGTCCAGTTGATAGTACCTGTGTACCACTTCTGTCCCTGCGCACATGGCCAGGAGGCTGGCTGCGAGCATTTTCAGGTAGGTGGACATGGGCATGCCTGCAGGCATGGTCCGAGGGCATGAACTGCAGGAGTGCTGGGCAGCAGGTCTAAGGGCAGACAGGGATTTTACATTCTTATTAGCAGTGTGTGAGAAATACAGTTGCTTTACATCCTCACCAACATGTAGCATGGTCAGTCTTTTTAATGTAGCCCTTCTAACAGGTGTATAGTAATATCTCATTGTGGTTTTAATTTGCACTTTCCTAACAACTAATGAAATTATTAGGTATGAGTAGGTGTTCAACAAATCACAAGATGTGCAGCATATTTCCATATACTTATTTGCTATTCATTTATTTTCTTTGATAAAGTGTCTAAAACCTTTCCCTTTTTAATTGGGTTGTTTCTAATTATTAAGTTGTGAAAGTTCTTTATATATTCTGGATATCAGTCCATTTTCTGATATGTATATTTTCCAAATATTTCCCCATTTATGGCTTTTATTTTTGCTTTCTTAACAGTGTTGTTCAAAAAGAAAATCTCAATTATTATTAAATAAAAGCTTTCTTTTATCAATTTTTCTTTGATAGACTATGCTTTTTGTACCTATCTAAGAATTCTTTGTCTAGCCCTCATATATAGCCTTTAATAAGGAAAATAATTCTTTATAAAATCCAGAGAAAAGTTCTCTATGGCTGCAAAACTTTGCTGAAATTTACATCTCTGCAAATATCTTTGAGTTAAATCTCTCTTATAGTTACACTAAATCTTTCTAACTGAATTATTTTGGTTCACAGTGCTCTTTTCCTAGTAAGAATTTCTCTGTGTTTGTAGAGCTGCCTGTAGACATTTTTCTTTTTCTTTTGAAATGGGGTCTCTCTCTGTAGCCCAGGATGGAGTACAGTGGCATAGTCTCAGCTCACTGCAGCCTCAGCCTCCCAGGTTCAAGCCATCCTCCCACCTCAGCCTCTCAAGTAGCTGCGGCCACAGAGGTGCGCCACCACACCTGGCTAATTTTTGTATATTTGTAGAGACAGATTTCTCCATGTTGCCCAGGCTCGTCTCGAACTCCTGGACTCAAGGTATCCACCTGCCTTGGACTCCCAAAGTGCTGGGATTACAGGTGGGACCCACTACACCTGGTTGATATTTTTCTTATTATGCATGTCAGTCACTATTAGATACTAAGGCATACATAAAGATTTTTGCATGGTCACTATCAAGAACATATTTTCTCTTGCAATAACTTATTTAGTGTTCTTTGACCTATTTTTGCTTTTTAATTGTTTATCTGTAAATCCATTAGCCTGCAGTTTAATGACATGTTGAAAATCCCTTTTATTTTATATAAAGACTGAGTCAACTTTATAATAAAGAATGCTGTGTGTATTTCCTAAAGTGTTGATTTAGTTAAGTAAAATAGTGGAATTTTATTGTTGGCAATAATTATCATTGTGTTGTTAAATGTATTCTTGCTTTTTTGCCTCAGTTTTTTAAGGAGTCTTTTCTTACAATTTAATTTTTGATATGGCATACTATAGTTCACAAAACATTTGAAAGTTGTGTAAGATTCTGCACAGAAACAAATCATAGCAACAGAATTAGAAATTTACCTCACTGGGCAAATTTGTGTTTGCCTTAGTACTTAATATTGATTATGCCAGTTAAGAATATTCATGATTCGTTAATGAAAAAAAAATCGTTTTGATACCTTCTCTACATAGGCAGTTACTTCCTCATTCAGTTGTATTACCAGGAAAGCCACTGGGCCTCTGTGCTACATTTCATCGTGCCAATGTCTATTTCTTGTTTTAGATTATGAGTTTCTTGAGGACAGGGACAATGGTTTATTTGACTTCATATCCCCAGTATCCCTTACAGGACCTTCACACAGATGCTGTAAATCTGAAAGTGTGTTACTAAAATGGATTAGTGAAAAGTAATAAAACATTAATTTTCTGTATTCATGTGTTCTCCTAGAAACAAAGGGCAGTATTCATGGAGATCGAAAGCTGAGTCTGGCATCAGTCTTGGGTTCAAATCTCAACTCTGTCACACAATGGCTATACTACCTTTGACAACTAGTTTACCTTTTGTACATCAGTTTCCTCATTTGTAATACAGAGATTGTGACACTCAGCTTCAGGTTGTTTTGTGTGTTTAATGAGTCACACAAAGTGCACAGCACAGGGCATTCAATACATGGGAGCTCTTTGTAATGGTAGCATAAAAATGTGTTTCCATATTTGTGTTTCCATCATTGTAGTATTCTGTCTGACAAAAATGTAAGACATTGAGCTTTACAGGTAACCATCAAAATGCAGTATTTGTTTTAGAGCAAACATGTTTTTCTGTATCCTTTAAACCATCTAGAATTTTCCTTACCTGTCCAAATTCCACTCTCAGTATTACAGATCCTATTGTGTCAGCTGATGTCTGCTTCACTTGCATTTTCTTAATGGTGTGTTATAGTTGAGTCTCATATCAGCTGGAAAGGTTATGACTTCCCAAATGAAAAGTTCAAAAAGTCGTTTCTGTATTCCACTCACAAACGTAGGGCTCTCATCTGGTTTCTGCTTTATTCAGAGACAGATAAATTCACTACCAAATACTGGAAAGCTATCATAAACATTTAAAATATGTTTGTAAAAATGTTATTATAATTTTAAAATATTTTAAAGTATTGTCTGCCTACACCCACATGCCTATGGAATGCTGTAGCTGAATACATTTTATACCTTTCATTCATTCACTCATCTATTTTTCAATTTAAACATTTCTTAAATACCTACTGTATGTTAGCTCACTGTATGAGTTCAGTCCTAGGGATTCTTAATAATATGCAAACTTGCTTCTCGCAAGTGTCTTAAATCATAAAATTATGCATTAAGTTCACCTAGAAAGTCTGTATTTTTTGAAAAGTAACCCATCCAGTAACATTTTTATGTTCAAATAACTGCAAGGGCACAATATGTGTTTTTAAAGTTTTAAAAATCAATCTTTGGAGAGTGATAGATTTAAACTAGCTTTACACTCATGCAATTACCCTTCAGCCAGCTTTCAAGAGTACCCCCAACCCATTTCAATTTCACATCCTCTAACCCCCCATGGATATTAAGACATTGTATCTGTGCCATCAGTTTTCAGATTTCTTGTGAACTGAAGAATTCAAGCATGGCAGAGACAATCTTCCCTAGGACACCCTGTTACTCATCATTTCTCCAGTGTATGTTCATGCCGATCCTTAGTTTGGCTCAATAGAGCTAAATACATATATTGCTGCATCTGATAATTTAACACAAGAAAGCGCAGCTTCCTAGAATTGTCTGGGTATCGTTTTACAAGAATTTTTGTTTTTATGATCAGATGCCCTCCATGTGAAACAGGCAGGTCATTGTGGCCTCAGGTGATGTGATTTTGTCTCTCATTTCCCCTTTTTGTTCTCTGAACCCCTTTCCTTGCCTCCCTCCTCTTTGACAGCTCACTCCCCACCAACATACACACTTATAAAACGCACACACCTAGGTATTCAATACTGCAATTTTCCTGCAGTCTTAGGCTAATGTTTCCATTAGTTTGTCTTTGCTTCTTAGGGGCAGGATAATTGATTTGCCTATATCCAGATCTATACATTATGTATTAGTAGATGGGAAATCACACTCAAATGGTAGGACTTGGCAGGAGGCATCAACACAGATTAGCTCAAGCTGATCAAATAATAACCACAAGTCAGCTCTGCTCTCTGCTCAATGAGTCTCCAGAGGAACATCACAGGAATTTTTTCTGTTTTTCAGAATGGCTTTCCCTCTCTTGTACTCTTAATAAAAACATTTATTCCCTGGGCATCCTAGGGTAAAATTTAGTCCTGATCAGCAACAGTCATCATCACATTAAACATTAAAGGGGAGAAATGCAATGGGGCTGTCAGAGTTCAGGGAATAATGGAGAGAGAATTAAACTGGCATTAAAGCAGCAATTAAGCACTTGCTAGGCAAAGTGTGGAATCCAAGGAAAACCAGAGGGAGTTAGTAACTGACAGGTTGGCCCTGAGAAGAGGAAAGGTATTGGTGCATCTGCTGAATCTACAAATAGAATCCGAGAAGGAGGAGTTGCCAGAATTTTCTGGCTGAGGGAAAACGTTTTATCAGCAATGGGCTGTAGGCCAGCAGTGTAAATTTCCACTTAAGTCTGAATATCTGAAAAGGGCCCTTGCTCTTTTTATTTGTCATTTAACAGATAGAATCTGTCTGGGTGTTTGACCGGGTTGAGTCATGGCCTCTTTCAGAACCAAAGAAAAAGGGATGAGGGGTTTTCAAGTTCCTTGTCATTAGAATGTCTTATTAGAATTGAAATTTTTGCTTAGCCTACAGCTTTACAGTGTTTAGGAATGCTGTGACCTCCTGCATGTGTCTTAACCTTGTCCCAGTGGGCTGGAGGGTTGACGCTAAGGGGCAGCAGGAAAAAGGAAGTCAGAATAGTTGGAAGCTACTCTGTAGGCTAAAGTTTCCAACTAGCATTGGTGGAGTGGCTATGTCGTATATGATACACTGAGACCAAGAGAACTTGCAGGGTGGAGATTAACATTCCAGATAAGGGAATTTAGAAGGGTCCCTGGACCAATCAGGGGAGACAGAAACATGTACTATAAACCACAGAATGTGGATCCAGGGAAAGGAAACATGAGAAGCATGGAAAAATCAATGCAAATGGTCAGATTCCACCTTTTAACTTCCTGCTGTTGCATTAAAGGCCAAATGATGAACGGTGGATTCCACTCTTGATTTTGACCTCCTTGACCCCTCCTAGTGTCTGTGACTTCCCTGTCTCTGACTTCCTGTGGGTTAGGGCTGTATGGTGATGAGTACTTGGGCTTAAGCACTTTACAAAGCAATTTCAAATCTCTTCCACCTCTGCCACTGAACAAGCTATGTCACATCAGGCCAATTTACTTACCCTTCTGAGCATCCATCTCTTTGTAAAATATAGAAAATAATTCCTACCTTGCAGAAGTGTTATGAGGGTTAAATGGTAAGAGGTATGTAAAGCCAGTATTTTAGAATCTGACATGGTGAATGTATGATGCTTTACTTATTAACCTGGCCTCTTACCAATTGT